TGATTAGAGACAACTGTCCTGAAGCAGGGACGAAGCACAGCTGTTCGTGTGACTGCAGAGAGATGGCATCTTCCCGGGAAGTACCCATGGCTTGGCTGGCAGTGCCCACTGACAGGACGAGTGCACTTGGCTCCAGCAAAACTGGCACCAAGAAGTAGCTGATGATTCGGGGTACCACAGGGCATTCAGTTTTTGTCTTGTATAATGTTCTTCCTGGAACACTCTCTCCTCAGCATCCCCCCCCTCTGCTCCCCATCCCAACCATATCCATTCATGTGACCTGTCTAATTCCCTTTCATCCCTTATACTTCAGAAGAACTACCTGTTCCTTTAGGAATATCCCTGGCCCCTTCCCAAAAGGACGCCCTCCTCTGTGCTCTCTGGCACACGGTATTTCTTGCATCATAGTACTTATCATGCTTTCATCATGAGCGCTGACTTCATTGTTTGACTCTCCTAATATAGTATCAGCTCCATGAGGGGAGAGAATTAATCAGTCTTGCTCACCACGGGCTATACTATACCCCATCCTCTGCGCAGTGCAGAGCCTATATAGGACAAGTGCCCAATAAATACTCAATTGAGTCAGCAAATAACCTATGTTGATTATATAGAAAGCGTCCTGTTAAACCTATCATGAACAGTTAAGCAGGTTGTACACTGTACAACTGATACGAGCACTATTGCCTTCAAAGACTTTGTGAATGGTTCTCTGAGGCATTGAGCAGTGCGTAACTGGTACAGTCGTACATGATGGTCTCACCACCCATCTGCTATGTATTGCACCCAAATCTTCCTTTGTGGACTTAGTTGAAGCATAGACTTTGAGTATCTAATAAAAGCCAGAAATTGCATTTTAGCCTGCATGTCCAATGAAACAATAAAAATTCCTTGGAACGACTGCATATGACTTACAAATCTAACATTTGCATGGCCCTGCACAAGGATTAAAGTCTTGGAATCTGGCACTGCAGGAAATTATTTGTCATTAAAGAAGGCATGCTGGGGGTGGTGAAGGGATGTGTTCAAACAAAGGAAATGAAGACAGCCTTGAATGAATCAACATTCTTAGTCTTTACCTGCTTTATCCTCTTAAGAAAGAACAATTTCCTTCCCTTCATTGACAACCTTTAAAAAAGGGAGGTGGGAATGCAGTAGGGGGAGGAAGGAAGAAAGGAAGTGGTGGAGAGTGAGAAGAGAGGAAAGAGGGAGGGAGGGCAGGAAGGAAGGGGGGGGCAGAGGGAGAGCAGAGAGAGAGGAGAGAGAATTAAACAGTGGATGGGTTTGCTATATCCCATAATAGGTGAACAAAAAAAGCTGGGAAGGGCGAAGTGAAAATTTTAGTGCTTTGTGCTTTTCAGATGATGGTATTATCCAAGTTATCTACAAACTTAATGCTGATTCCTCTGATTTTTCTCAAACACGGAAGGGATGTCCATCTCCCTGCCCTGGTCACTCAGCTGTTGCTAGTAAAGCTGATATTGCCAGTGAATGAGCCAGAAGATAATCATTGACAATCTGGATTCAGAAAGTCACTCATCACCGGCCTTATGAGACGCTCAGCATTTTTTCATCTGATAAGTGCAGCATCCCAGGCCCTAATACTCACCAGCTGCCCTTTGTATTATGCATTGCCAGCCCTGGGAACGCTTTCCTGTATTCCCAGGACGTGCTACCTGTAAAGTAAGGGTGTGCTCTTCCCTTCAGATGCTGACCCCCCCCCATATTAATAGCTCAATAAGGATAATCTCCAAAGGAATGTCTGTATCATCTTGTAACTTGGCTTAAGACCTTTGACTAATTCTGGTGACTTTAGGCCTTAGTTTCCCGTTAATTCCATCCAGATCTCATTAACTCCTGAGCGTCTTTTCCTACTCAAGGATTTAAACTGTTCTTTTTGCTTTTGAAGATTCAAACCAAATCCTGATGGGACATTATGACAATAGCCTCTAGTGAGTTGCTAGTGCAGTTTGATCACCAACACACAACTCTGTGCCAAAGCTAGTTTCTGAATCTTCCTTGTCTTGCTTCCACACCAGTGCTCAACCCCCTACACTGTCCTATCCTTGGTACCCAACAACCACCTTGCAGGTGTCTGCCTCCAGGAAGGAGGTGCATACCTGATGCTGGGAACCTCTCCCAGAGCCACAGGATGCTCCTCTCTGAGGATGGGGCTGGAGCATCTTCGTTTCAAAAAAGCTGTCATATGTCATATGTACAACCACAACGGAGACTGAGCCTTGGTTTACACCCGCGCCGTGCCCCACCCCCCCCCACCACCCAACATACTTGTTTTTCCTGGTTCATATTAGAGTTGCAAGCTGGCCTAATGTTTTCTGTCAAATATTTCCCTGGACTACATTCTGTGCCTCTTTACTCTTGGGTGATGCCCAAGAGTAGGGTGATGCCCGGAGTAGGCATTTCCCATTAATGTTTTGTTGTGATAAGTTGCCTTTGGCGCATGCGTGAGAGATTTGTAAGAAAAAGAATCAGGCCCTTGGTGTTGAGTATGAGGGAGAATTCTAATAAATCAACAAAGCAAAGTTACTTGCTTCTTTGGCACTTTTTGACTTTCCATAGTCCATATATGTACATATCTCTGGAAGGAAGGGGTAAGTACAAGTGTGATCGCAGAGTAAGCTCTAGATCAGTTGTGTCCCATAGAACTTTCTAGATGATGGGTGAGTTCTAATTTGTGCTGTTCAATATGGTATCCACATGTGGTTACTGAGTAGTCAGATGTGGCTTGTGTGGCTGAGGCACTGAATATTTAATTTTAATTGATTTTAATTGAAACACCTCACATGGCTGGCAGCTTCCTTACTGGACAGAGTCACCCCCGAGGATAAATGTGTCACCTTCAGCGCTGAGACAGACCGCATTTTTACTCCTCCATTTTTTCCCCTCCCCAACAGAGTATCTGGCACATTACTTATTTATTTGTTTTTCGGTTTTGTTAACCCAAAGTGAAAATTGTTCATTCTTTCCCCTCTTTTTCTTGGCTCTCCTTGACTTTGCTTGTTTATTTTTACTCCATTTAAAAACTCACTTTCCTGCCTGTGTCTCACATCTGTTCTATTGGTCCTGATTCAAGATTGAAGTCTTCTCATCTCCCTAAAATTGATAGGAATTTAAGAAGATACAACTCACTTGGGTGAAGGAGTCAGCAAGTACTCACTGAAGGTTCTGGATGATTTCTACATACCTCTTCACCGTTCTTGTCCACTTTGAGGCTTTGATCTCACATCCCGAGGTCACATATGGATCAGTCAAACATTTTAAGTGTCACTTCCTCTCCCCTTGGCCAAACCTGGGGCTTAACACCCTCGCTTATTCAACTCTCCCACAAAGTAAATCGTCATGCCAAGGTAGGTGCAGAGATGAACCCATCTGATTAAAAACCCAGCCATGCACTTACTTTAGCATGTCAGACTGTTAAAAAGTAGAAGTAAATGAAGCAAGTAATCCCGTGATTTCCTAGCCAGGAGGGCCAGATGCGACACCTGGACCCTGTTTGTGCATGTTGCCGGTGCTGCTCAGCTGGAATCCTTCCCAGCTGAGGCCTCTGGCTGTGGACTGTGCTGCGTGGCCTTTTGTTTGCGTGGTTTACTTGAATGGCATCGAGAAGGGGGAGCATCTGGGCCTTGGTTTTCAGGGATAGTTAATAGACACCATCTACTCCTGCCAGAGGTGACTTAAGCACTTCACAGGGACGGGCATTTCAAATATTAGGGCAGTGGTTCTCAAACCTGACTGTGCCCCAGAGGGCTTTTAAACACAGCTGTTGGACCTCTCCCCAAGTCTTTCTAACTGGGGGGCGGTGCCAAGAATTTTCATTTCTAACAAGTCCCCCAGTGATGCTGCTGGTCCAGGGAACACACTTTGAGAAACACTCTCTTAAGGGCTCTCTATAGATGCTATATAGCCACTGAATCCTGAATTTTCCAAGATGGTTCTAATATGTTGTCATTTTATTCTTTTCTGTCAAGCTGATTTTAGATATCTGAGGTTTAACTTTTGTACACTTGTCAGATGTTTTATGTAAATACACATACAAGTCAATCCACTTAACAAGCATTCCCCTGTGTGCCAGACATTGCTGGCTTGTAGGCGCCATAGATGTGCACCAGAGAGACCACCTTCCCGAGATGCGGCAGTGGATGAGGGCAGAGTGTGTCAGGCTGTTAACGGGCAAATGTGGCCATGATAGGCAGGAGGAGGGATGCGGCACCAGGAGCTGTATCAGGACATGTGATGTAAACCTGGGTGCTTGAAGGTGGAGTGGGGGGGGGGGCTTCCTGGAGGAGGCTACATTTACGTTGAGTGGTGGTGAATAATAAGTACGTAAGTGGACGTCACAGAGGAGATAGGAGGTGGGAAGAGGAAAAGAAGAACGGGTGAGAGCTGTGTTGTGGTGCTTTGCAGGAACTTCCGTGAGGCTGGGCACAGGACTGAGAGAGCCTTGTGTGACTTGGGGGGAGGGCAGGCTCAAGACCACACCCAACCCAACAGTATGCGCAGCAGCAAGGAGTTTGGATTCTTAGAGCCTCAAGCCAAACGTCCTGTCTGCTGTATTCTTCATCGTCTTTTTCAATTTGGCAAATACAGTCCCCAAGGTGGGGGGGAGGGAAACATAACAAAGATAAATTTTATTGCTCTGACATGAATTAAATTACATGAATCTCCAAATTGAAAAGACCCACAAAGAGCATAATTTAAAAAAGTATATCATTATGAAATTTCAGAACATAAACGTTAGAAGATCCTAAAATATTCCAGGAAGAAAAACTAGGTCCTGTGTGAAAAATTAGGAATGAAAACTATTTTGGACTGAGAAATTCTGGTAGCTGGAAGAAACTGAAATGATCACTTCCAAAAATTGGGGGAGGGGTGTGGCAATGATTTCCAACCTAGAATGCAATACTAGCCAAGATACTCATTGTGAGTAGAGTAAGACAAAGATTTTTTCACAAAGGGGTCTTTCACACATCTCTTCTTAGGAAGTTCCTGCAGCCTGGGTCATATTACAAGAAACCACAAAAGAAGAAGCGACGTCCTGGAAATGGGAGGCGCAGTGTAGGACAGAGAAGGTGAGTGGAAAAGAGCAGTTCCAAGAAGGCAATCGTGGAAGTCCAGGAAAGCAACTGGTCCTAACAGAACATGAAGAAGTGCTGGGTACTAGAGAGAGAGTCAGAAAGGAAAAAAAGGTAACTGATATGTGAGCTGAGAGATTTGCTGGCATGGAAATCTGTATTATACGATAATATCCCATGTTGGAAGGATGAGCTGTTGGTAAGACAACTAAGCCAAAGAGTCGATTATTAACAGTAGAAGAAAAAGTTTACCAGAAAGTTAGTTTAATCATAGTTAACATCTGGCTTATATTTACCCAATAATACTCACTAACAATTTAACATCTACCCATGCTCGGTTGAGGTGAAGGGTGATGTAAGAGAGCTATATAATTATATATCAAAATGGCTAATAAGTAGATGATGTCACTTTAAAAACTGGTTCCATTATGCATCTAGCTTAATCAAAGCTAAATTTGGATTTGGAAGCTTGTTATCATATGTAAATCATTTCCCTCAGTGTTTCCAAAACATGTTTAAGAGAAGTTAGATTTTCCATCTAGATGGTCAATTTGTGCTTTGGTGGACAGTTTCTGCTCCTAGCACATAGCAATGAGACACCAAAATGATTTATAAAAGAGCACATGATGAGATTAAACATTTCAGGGGTACAAAAATATAACAGAAAAACAAAGTAGTAGCATAGATGAAGCGAGAGACCCCTTGGAATGGTAGGTAGGTAGATTTCTCCTGCTTCCTTCCCAGGTAAGAAGACTGAATACTCTGATTCTGCTTCTCCACTTGAGAAGCCGTGGGTAGGTAGGCTCATTGCTTAGAGATATCTAGAGGCATATTTTCAAGGTTAAATTTCAAAAAAAGATATGGCAGGAAATTTCCTCTAGGGGGATGTTTGTTTACATCAGAACCCCCTTTTTTTGTAGAATGCTGATACTCCATGATACCTCATGGAAATATGCTCATCTCCCCAATCTTCAGTTGTATGTGTTGGGAATTTCCAGAAAGTTGTTGAACTATCAGTCGTTAAGTTTTTATAACTTGTCATTTTCATATCTGAAACCTCACATGTTATTCCCCCTACCTGTCAATTTGGGATGGGTTTGATTGCTTCGCAATGATTTTGTCCATGTTAGCCCAGTCTTAAGAACAGATATTATAAATCCAAATGTCCTGTTGAGAGCAGGCTGGCCTAGTAAATTGAGGCAGTGTCACTCAAATATATAACCTAGTAATTACAAACAGAATTAGCAAACATGGAACCATGTTGTTAGAAAAATGTGGAATGAAAGACATTTGGGGCAGAATTTCATGTTCACTCTGATCATCACTATTGCCAAATATAACACATATTAAAAGAGAATAAATAAAGTTACTGCAACTGGGCAGACAAATAAATGATTTTCTCATTTTTTAAAAAATTGTTCATATACCAATTACCTTTATAATTAAATTATTTACTTTTATAGGTCCAATATAATTATATATTAAGATAACTTAGAGTAATTTGAATAAGAGTGGGGAAAGATAAACTTTTAGGAGTAGAAAAATATATCAAAGAAAGGAAAATAAATGCAGCATTAAAAAGGAGGTTCACAATGGCACATTCAGCATAAAAGGAGTGGGGGGTTCAGGGCAAAGAACAAATCAAATACCAATGCCCAGAAGAAAAACAACACTTGAGAGTTAAGCACTTCAGATTTTTTATTAGCTCTTAGTAAATAAAGTAAGATTAAAGGAAAGCGTTGGAGACAGTCAAGAGATCTTCACTCCCCAACTCCTCTTGTCTTGGCGGTAAGCATGAAGGAATTAAATAAAGACCATATGTTCTATTATTTCACCTGGTCAGCAGGCTATAGGGTTTTGAAGAAAAATAAAATAAGGACCAGATTCCAGAGCATTCAGGTGTACAGCTCAGCTTGGGGGGCTGACCTTTTCTTTCACTCCAAGTGGCCACTTCATGCAACCAAGAGTAGCCAGTGCAGAGCAGAATGCTGCACAGCTTGGTTTCTCACACTGCTTAAGGATTCTACTCATAGCTGCCTGCAGCAATGGCTTGGCCTTTTTCTCTTTCAAATCATGCTAAGTACACCTATCTTTTACTTTATCAACTTCCATTCTGCTCCAGCTTAATTCATATGCAGGAGATGATGCAGACAAGTGTGTATGTTTCCTAATTTTGAAATAGAAATGGAATCAGAGGGCCTCCCCTGGTAGCACAGCGGTTGAACGCTGGGCTGTGAAGCTGCCCGCAGCCTCTGCAGCACCGGTTCGATCCCTGGCTGCCAGCCAGGGTCCCACATGGTGTGACAGACCTCTCCTGCCACGCCCGCTGCTCCCCTCAGCAGTGTATTTCATCAGTCTGCCTGTTCTGTTCCCCACTCTGGCTCTGGTGAATTCTCTCACCCTCCCATGCTTCTGACTATACCCAGTGCTCATATAAATAAATAAATCTTAAAAAAAAAAAAAAAAGAAATGGAATCAGAGCAGTATTTTCCAAGTCACATCCCTTCTAAATGTTGAGTTTAGTAATTTGCTCTTGAAAAGCCCTGATCTAGTTTTTCTTTTTTTAATCTAGGTGAAATATAAGTGGAAAATGAGTGTATAGTCAACAATGCTATGTAGACCCTGTTGACTTTCTATGTGCCACCCCCTCTTCTCAGCCCAAAGGTGGCTTCAGTGGTTCAAAGAGAGCCATGGAAACAATAGAAGCACTGACAACCTCCTTCTAGCCTCCCTGCATCAGGAGATGGAACATCCTTCTGTTTCTAGTCCTGGATCTTGGCTTCCTGTGCTTTTCCTTCCAAGCAAGGGTCCAAGAGCAAACAGTGTAATTCAAATTTGAATGCATAATAACTATATCACTTTTATTATTTAGCATGGAATTCACCCAGAGTCCAGAAGGGAAGCAACACATCAGCAGCACCTATTTAAAAGTAACTTTTAATATTCTTCCCCCAGTGACATCAAACCTAACCTCCAGCTTAAGACTTTGTCAATACAGGCTAACTCGATCTCCCGCTCCATTCCCAGTTACTGTTCTCATGAACATGTGAGTTTTTCTTTTATAAAGTCTTTGAAGCAAGGTGGGGGGTCTTAGTTCCTGGGCAACCAGGAGTGGAAAATGTACAGAGCAGTTCTCTTGGCTCCTCAAATTCTTGTGGTTAAAAGAATGTAAACCATGTCATAGCTTTGCCTCCTTTCTCTCCTTACATTGTCTTCTTGCCCACTGGCTTGTCTGACCTAGAGGGTACCTATTGAATTTACTAATTTAACACCTTCTAGGTGATCTTGAGACTTTTCACTTCCCCCTACATAAATGAAGCCCCCTTAATTTATCATTTCCATTCAATAATATTTTTAAAGATTAGAATTATTTATTTAAGTCAGGGCTAAGGTTTGCAATTATAAGGACACTTAAAGATACTCTTTGCCCCCCTGGTTCATTATGGCAAATTTGGAAATAGTATTAGTAACAATTTCTTCTAAAATGTGACAATTTTCTTGGTTTTAATAAGCAATTTCCTTGGTTTCAATAGGCAATTATAGGATATCAATAAGCTAGTTATGATCTAGAATGAAGTTGATATTTATCATGAACTGTTCACCTTCTCTATCTCCTTAGGAATTTCTGTGTCAGTACTCACCACATAAAAGTAAAATTACCTTTGACAGTTTTGGTCAAGTCCAAGAAAACCCAAACCAAAAAATGCTACCCAAATTCACCTGTCAGATAGTTTAGCATTTCAAATGAGATATCTGTTAAGAAAAGCCCCTAGAGCCAAAGAAAACTCAATACTATTATATCATAAATTCATCATTACTAACTCTTTTCTGGTCTGGGAACCATGGCCTCTGTGGTCTAGAGAAATGGTCTTTAGAGTCTTCAAGTTGTTCTATGAAAATTTTTCATGTGTGTATTGATGTCAATGATAGATTTGAAACAATATAAACATCCTGGATCACATTAATGATAATATAACCAAGGAATCAGTTCACAATTTCTTGTCCCAAGTCCTTAAAGCCATATGTGTTTAGAATTCACGATTTTTCAGATTTTAGGAAGATTATTTTGTACATATGCTGTATATTATATAACACCCATAGTGGAGGCTAGGGAACCCCCAAGCAATCAACCAAATAAATATTTCTATAGTGAAACATGTGAAACAAAATATGATAAACACAGAATATGAAAAGACCATATAATGAGCTATAAAAGAAGCCTCAGCAAATTTAGAAGAATTAAAAATATGCAAACAATGTCTGTGACAAAAAAAGTGATTCAACTGGAAATCAGTAATAAAAAATATCTGGTAAATCCTCCCAAGTATTTGGAAATGAAATTGCACATGTCTAAGTAACCTGAGTTGGAGAGAAAGTCACCAGGAGACTAGAAAATATTTTGAAGAATTAAAACAAATAGACAACATATAAAATACTTGGACTGCAATTAAAGCAACATTAAGAAGAAATTTGGTAGTGTGAAATGTTTAAAAAAAAGGCCTCAAACCAATTTCCTAAATTTTTACCTTAAGAAATTAGAAAAAAGGAGCAAATTTAACTGAAAACAATGTATGAAAAGTAAATAATAAAGTTAAGATCAGAAATCAATGGAATCAAAAAGAGGAAAATCAATAAAAGCAAAATCTGTTTCTTTGGGGGGTGGAAATTGACAATTTTTTTGTCAATTCAACCTAAAAAAATTGAAAATATTATTTTTTTTGTCAATTCAACCTACTGAAACAAAAAGAACTCACAAATTCACAGTATCAGGAATGAAAGAGGAACCATCACTAAAGATCCTCGGACACGAAAGGGAAAAGAAGGTGCTATTATGAACAACTTTATGCTACTAAACTTGATAACTTAGATGCAGTGGGGGGAGACTGTTCAAATTATGAGGCTGGCATTACTCTGATACCAAGACTAGACAAAGACATTTAAAGGAGACTAAAATTACAGATCAATATCCCTCAGGAACATAAACACAAACA